TCCAATTTTATTTGTAAGAAAAATTATCATTTTTTATTTTTTTAAAGCAAAATTGCATATCTCAATAAGCATTCATTATATATTTTTTAAATTATCTCTTATAATTTACGCTAACAAGATATAATTAATGCTTATTTATGTTAATTAACACATGGTATTTTATACCTTATTAAATATTTGAAAAAATTACTAAAAATATTATTTTATTTTTTATTAGAGGTTAGAGGTGAAAATTTATTAAATTTCAAGACAAAGTTAATAAAATTTAAGATTTTTTTTTAACTATGATGAGACATAATAGAAGTGACTTATAAATAGAATTAAAAATAATATTTTTTCTTAAAAAAACTATGATCATTATTGATAAACTTACTCACTATCTAGCTTATAAGTTTTTGGTATGTAATCCCTCTGGTTTTATTTGTTAGAAAAATTATTACTTTTTATTTTTTTATAAGCAAATTTTCATATCTCAATAAGCATTTATTATCAATTTTTTAAATTATCCCTCATAATTTACATTAACAAGATATATGATTAATGCATGTTTATGTTAATTAACACATGGCATTTTAGTCAAAATTTTTTATTTTCAAACATAATTATTTTAGTTAATTAATTTTCTTAAATTGTGTAATATAATTTTTTATCTTATATATAAAAAATGGAGGAAATACTTTCCTGACTATTTTGACAGTTGGATTATTTTAACTATAAAATTAAGTGATGAACTATTCATTATATTTATATGTTGAAGAAGAGATTCATTATATTGATATGTTAAAGAAGAGAATCATTCAGAAACTTAAATTGAGATAAAAGTATAAACACTTTAAAGCTTACCTATTTTTTTAATACTATGCCTATTTTTTTTCCAAAAGTGTTTGTATTGATACACAAATGAATAAATAAATTTTAATTTAAATTCTAAATATTTGGTATATATTCGATAGTATCCAACTTTGGAAGAAGATTAACAATTTTGAAACGTACATTCATCTTTCATTTAATATTCTTGGTATTATTCCATAATATAAAAAATACGTTGGTAAAAATAATTCAAAAAATTGTAAAAGGGGGGGGATCCCTAAGAACCGGACACACTCTAGTAGTCTAGTAGTCTAGCCAACGCAAGGGGAACTGAAATTGGAAAGAAAAACTAGTGAATAATGCAAAAGCGCCGGACACAAAAAGCCTGCAGGAAAAATGACATTTCTTTTACTGGAAAAGATTAATCTTTCTTTTAAAAAAATTGATAATATTAAATAAAAAATATATATATTAAAATATTAATTTGAATAGAGAACAAAAAATTTCAAGATTTTGGTTTGAAGTTTTCATCTTAGGACCTTTTGAAATGAACCTTTTGTTTTCCATTCCATCCCCCCCAAAAGAAAAAAAAAAACCTCAAACAATGCTAAGTGATCCTCTAAAATAATGTGACTAACAAATGGACCAAATTGAGCAAAGCATATTTAATTAATAACTTTCACTTCCTAAATAAAAAACAGTTAATATCTTTAAAAACTATCTAATATTGTCATGTCTTCCTTTATTTAATAAGATAAATTAATGGCAAATAATTGAATGAGTACAGAAATCTCATTAATTTTAAATATTCTTGAGAGTCTTTTTTTAAATATCTGATCGATTACTTTTAAAAACTACTGAAATATTTTATATTTGTAAACATAATATATATAAATGTCTTAGAATAATTTTGAAGTTTAAACTGTAGGAGTGCTATTTTTTTTTTTTTCAAGACTTAAAAATAAGGGGGTGGTATATAGATAAAAGGTTGGGACAATGTTGCCTTTAATCATTCAATCGCCTTTCTTTCGTAATTATAGACGCATCAGAGCTCAAGTAGCAGAGTGTACCAAAAGCATCACTTGGCCATAATGACTACAGTGGCTACTTACCCAAAACACAAGCCTCGTTCTGTGCAAATTCTGATCTCTAGTTTTCTGTGTCGTCCAATCTGTAAATTTAAACTAAGGTTGGCTACATGGCATGCACGTACCTTTTATTTTTTTTTTAATTCACCACCATTGATCTGATATATCCTCATGAGAATATTTCCTTTCTAACTTTTACCCAGATTTGATTTAAAGGCTTTGCGACATATCGTTATGTCACCTTTAGTTTTTGAACCAAAAGGTACTATAACATTCACTAAAGTTGTTATACATAAAGTAAATTAATAATCTGTCCCCTGTGACCTGGGAATTGATCAAAGTGATGATTCCTTTATTATTATTATTATTATTATACTACTTGTTTGGATAATATTAGAAATTCATTAGTCCATTATTGGGTCTTCAAGAATCTATGCATGTATATAAATAATCCTCTAATTTTATTTATAAAGTGGAGAAAGATATTTTTTTTTTTTTGGTCTTGTGTAAAGGGCAATCTCAATGATTTTTAGGTTGACCTTTATCATTTTGCCCATATTAAATGAAAGTTATTAAATGTTGAGTATTTTATTTTTAAAGTATTTATATTTAATATGAATAAAATTATAAATTTATTAAATTTTTAGACAGAGTTAATAAAATTTAATACTTTTCTTGATTTTGATGAAACATGTTAAAAGTAACTACTCCCTCCATCTCAAATTACAAAACGCTTGTAGGTAAAATCTCATACACTAATAAACCTTATTAAATATACTTAATAACCTTATCTTTCTAAAATAAAGATATAAATTTTTAAAAATACCCATTATTTAATATATTGAAAAGAGAAAGAACAAAAATTAATTATAGAGAAAGAAAGAATAATATTAAAATTGATGCATTTAATAAAACATTAATCTACTCAAAGTTTCTTATATTTTGAGATGGAAAAACTCTCAAAAATGTCTTATAATTTGAGATGTAGGGAGTAATAAATATATTCCTTTTAAATCATAATATAAGTCATTATTAAGTAATTTATGTTTCTAAACAAAAGTTGGTTAAAGTCTTGATTTTCTAAATTTTTTCACATTTTTCAATTGTACTCTTGAGTGTAGTAAATGATATACTTGACTTATTCAAAACACTTTCATTAATTACTCAAAACACTTTCATTAATTACTCAATAAAATAGGGGTGTAATTCAAAAGAAAATATATATAACCTATCCAATAGCCTGTATTATTAGAATAATTATCATTAATGAGGCTTTATTCTTTTCAAAAAATTTTATTCTTGAGACCCCAAATCACCTATAAAAATTTTATAAAATCATTCTAGTAAAAAATATAAGCATCTTTTAATAATAATTTGCATATCAATAAAATATTTATTTTTATGAAAATATATATTATTTTTTCTTTTTACCCTTAGTTTTAATTTATGATGAGTAAGAAGAAGGTCATAAATTTATAGATTCAAGAACACAATAATCCAGGTTAATAAATACAAGTGATAAAATCAGAAATTTTTTTATAAATATATTAAGTTGCTTATATTTTAGACCAAGATCAGTTGGAAAAGAGTAGGTTGGAAGGAATATAATACTACATTGCATGTGGGTTGGATTGTAGCTAGGCTTATTCATAAAAGTAGTTACAGAATACTAACTAATTAATAATATAATTCCCTCATATTGATAGGTTTGAATTCTCGCATTTGTAGATAATTCCTCCTATTCTATACCAAATAGCTTCGAATATTTTTGGTATTGAATTAAATAACAACACAATATCTTGTCTCGTTAAATAACATAACAAACAAATCTCGCTTTGAACTTGCATGCACAAACGTGGTAATCTGTGCTTGTCCACACATGAGAATACGCACAATGAGATGTGCACTATACAATTAAACAAGGTTCACGTGAAAAGCTTTAGGAAATGCATTAATTAAACACAAATAAATTTAACTATAAATTATCCTCAAAATTAATGTGGATGATCCAAATCACACACTCTGTTAAAGGTACTAAAATTACAGTCTCTTGAAAAAATTTAGCAGCAACTTCAGTTGGGGATACTTTGCATGAAACGTGTAAGGAAAATACGTGAGGGGGGGGGGGCTCATAAAATGACTGAGAAGCAAACCATGACTTTAATGGAAGTGGTCCATAGATTTTCCATGTATGGATTAATCCCAAACCCCACGTGTAATCTTATATATATAAATATTTCATATTCGTCTAAACTCTGTTAATTTCTACATTTATTTCCTATACTTACCTAACAGTTAAGTCGTTATGACCCCATTTTCAATGACCATGTTCCCTCGCCTACCCCTACTACTAACTATAATTCATTCCTTTAATGATATTCCACTTGGTGGTTTCTAAGTTCAAACCTTTTACGTTTTTCAACTAATAACAGTATATTCCAAAGCACCATGCAAAGAGGAAACACACACAAATATGAGACTCAAAATAAATTTTGTTTTTACCAAGAATTTTATTTTTCAAAATTATAAGTAATTTAAGATGTTGATGTACTGTATATACTATATGTATATATACATAGGGAGAGAGAGAGAGAGAGGGAGGGAGGGAGAGAGAGAGAGATGAAAGGATGGGAAAAGTCTCTGGTAAAGTTGTGAATATGATGATAAAACGCCAAACCCTCGTGGGCTTCGTGGCAATCAAAAAGCAAGGGATAGAAATGGCAATTTGGGGCTTCAATTTAGAGTATATTAGTCATTGCGGAATTGGTTCCCGTAAGACCAGTTATTTCCCAAACGGAATTCCAGTCCGTAAAATAGGATTCTTTTGATCGCGTTACTTGCGGTGTAATCCCTTCGCAAATCATTTTCCGTTTGAAATTTCCTCTCGTTCGCGTCCGAGTCGCTAAACCGTCTGTTTTCATGAGTGGCGATCGATCATTGGTTTACGAGTCGGTGCAGCTCTCAACTACCCGATCTGAATAACGGCGCCGTCAATTGGCCCGTTTTCAGATTCCCCCGTCACTGTTAACGGACCCAGGACCACCATCACCCACCACTATTACACTATCTCAACCGTTGAAAGGTTTCGTCATCATCGCAATTTCTTCGTGTCACTTACACGCGCCCACAAATATACGCCTTCTCTCTCCCTCCCTCTCTCTCTCTCTCTCAGTGACAAAATCAGAAGACCCCACTGCACCTGAATCTTGAAGGAAGAGATGGTGAGCAAGTGCAGGAGAATTGCAGAGGTTGTTGCAGTAATGGAAATGGCTCAGGTTGGAGTCACGACAAGAGCTCGAGCAGCGTTGGCCATGGGAATAGCTGCTGCCACGACTTCAGCCGAAAGAAAACCCAAGAGAAGGAGGATCAACAACGAAGAACACAAATTCTCAGCATCTTCATCGCTCGTTCAGCTTACGGGAAGAAGTCGCCCTGATGTCATTCAACCGAAAGCCGAGGAGCGATGCTCCAGTCCTACCTCCGGTGAACTCCCCTCATCATGTTGTTCGAGCAATGGATCCATCGGACTTGATGAAGAAAGAATCGAATTCGTAGATCTGGAGGTATAATTGTGTTTGCCATTCTCTGTACAAATTTTCGCAAACAATTCTTACAAATCTCGGCTGCTCAAATCAAATTTCAATTGTCTGTCCGAGAGCCTTGGTTAAGTTCGATCTCTGTGAATGTTGCTCGTCATCGTGTTTGTGTCCTTATATATATATATATATATATATATTTTTCCTCTGAATTTAAGACTTTGTGTTGAACATGTTTACAGGTAGATAGCGCGCAAGTTGAATCATCGACGTGTAATTACGGTGACGAAAGGTTATAACTCCTCCTTCTTTTTCAAATTTTCAAAAACGGAATCATTTGAATTCCAAAAAGCATGAAATAAATGATCCGTCATAATTTCTTCCGTTCAAAATTCCAAGTAATTCAAAAGCACTGAACCACTGCGTCGGCCTATATCGCTCTGTAGAGAGATGAGCCTATCCAGCGAGCTCAGCGGACCAAATTCAGAAGACGTGAAGCCACCGGAGACCAACGCTCGTCGTATATCAACAGTGCAAAAGATGCCGACGGAGTTGGAGCTCGAAGAATTCTTCGCTGCAGCGGAGAATGACATTCACAAAAGCTTTGCAGAGAAGTAAGTAAATTGTAAATCTTAATAAAGGCCCAACAGATTCTCCTTCTAAGCATATTATGTCCTACTGCTTTTGATGTGAAAATTAGCATGTATCGCCTATTTTGTTTTACAATCTTCCAATTTCCGGGCAACCAATCGATGGGTAATTATCTGCAGATATAATTACGACATTGTGAAGGACGTGCCGTTGGAAGGACGTTACGAGTGGGTTCAAATAAAGCCATGAAGGTGTGAACCCCTCTTCTCCAAAGCCAAGGTTCAAGAATTAAAGAAGATAACGACCTAAACTAGTCCTTCCTGTCTCTAGAAGATTATTATGCGCTTAGCTAAGGTAATTCAATTCTCTCACACTCTCTTGATGTAGGACTCTTTTGGATTATGTATAGCATTCTTTATCGTTCATGAGGGGGAGAATTATATTCAGTATGTTTGTTCTTTTGTGTACGGTTTAATCATACGGAGAAGCCAGTGGATAAATGAGTATGTTAATTAGCGATGGAGATCGAACGGCTCAAATAACATAAATTTAGTAACACCCGAAATTTCGCGTTTGTTTCTGTGTTGTTATTTTGCAGGTCGTTCTAGTTCTACTTCTGCCATGACTGTACTTGGGTACAGGCAGCCAGTGACTGTATCTTCTTTTTCGTCTTCTGCTTTCCCCCCCGTTTTTTTTTTTTTTTTGGGTTTAGGTTTTTACCCCATGACGCTAAATTCCTTCATCTTTCTTGTCTTTTTCTTTCCTTTAAATTCTGCAATGACTTTTCCTTCTTTTAACTGTGGAAAATCTGTGCCTTTTCTTCTCTACTTTTGTGATAAATCAGGATATATGTCGATTGTGGAATTTGGTTGAGAGGTATTTTATGCAAAAGTTCACAGAGGACGCTAGACTAGAGATTTTTTTCAAAAAAAAAAAGAAAGCTTCTAAATTTTTGAAACTTCACTAAAAATTTAAGTTATTAAATTGAAATCAATTTTTTTTAGAAAATGATAAGATTGTCCCCATTATTGAAAGAGGAAAAAATGAATTATAAAATGAGCCAGTAAAGTAAAGCAATGAATAACAATTTAAAAGATAATGAATACCATACATTAGAGACACTAATAAGTCGTGCTAATATGAAAATAATATTTAAAATTAATTCAAATAAAAATGTTATAATAAACAAGTGAAGTGAAATAATGAATAAAAGTTTGAAGAATAATGAATAACATACAATAAGGACATGAATAAGTTTTGCTAGAAAATTTTAATATAAACAATCTTATTATTTTTTAAAAAATTTTAATTTCAATTCAATATCTTAAACTTACAGTGAATTTGTAAAAATTTAAGAGTTCTATTTTTTAATATATGTAGTTCAAGGATTTGCAGTGAAAATTTCCCTATATTTATTATATCTTTTTATTTTTTAAAAAAAATTTCAATTATTTTATTTTAAAATGATTCAATTATTAAATTCTTTTTCTGTTGTTGTCGTCATCGTTGTCGTCGTTTTTTATTTATTTATTTATTTAAAGCTCTCACGCACCATCATAAGGGTCGGTGGAGCAAGATACCGTGCAAGTCACGGACACGTGTTAGATGGGTCAAGAAGCTGATGTTAACCCCCATGTGAGACAGGCTTTTCAGAATTGAAACCTAAACACAATACTCTCTAAGCACGGAAAATAAACTCTCACTCCCATTCATATTTGTCGCTCACGCAAATAACAGTCTTGTTTTATCAGATATAAAAAATCTTTTTTTGATAAAAATGAAAGCAAAACAGCGATTAAAAACTAAAACAAAGCAACAAATAAAGGAAAACAGCCTAAGGAGGTTGAAGAAACTCCAAGAGGTATGGCACCGTGGGTGCAATATGAAAAAGATAGAGATACAAAATCTAAACTTCGGGAAATTTTCAAATTGTGTAAGTGTTCATATATCTCGAAATTACGCTATGTGCTTGAAAAAATCATACCATTCATAAACTATAATCAGTGTGACCTATCCATCGATCCCTCAAATGTTATATATAGAACGCATGAGACACTAGCTAAATGGAAAAGTAGGAGGACAGTTTAAAGCAGGTCTAAATATGTGTCAAGGCGAAATGGTCAATGCAAGCGTTTTTATTTCGTTCAATTAATAATAACTTGTTTTTTTTAACTTAAACAAGAATTTGGCTCATATCTCACGAGCGAGTTTATGTTTTATTATCAATGTCAATTTAGGCTTTTATTAATAGATAACATAATATATAAATATTTCTTCAAGTACTCTTAGTTATAAAGTCTATCTTGGTTGAAATGAATTTCAGCTGGGATCCAAGTGACATAAACAACTCTCCATACGGGAAAAAAAACGGAAAAACTATTAAAGAAAAAAATGAAAAAAAACTATTAATAATTTTATTTTATTTCATTAATATTTCATCTTCAAATAATTGCTTCAAATCCTATATATATGGGCATTGATGTTTTTTTTTTTTGGATAACATACATGGGCATTAATGTTGGCAGTGATGTGCGTAAGGCGAGAAGATGAAGCACAATGACGGTCAAAGCACATAACCCTATTCATTACTCTCTGGAAGAAAATTACCGTTTTGTATGTTAATTAGTCATTTTTCACTGTTTCTGAGAAATTCTAAGATGAACCCAAAGCACCATGTCATTTATGGTTTATCCAATAAAAACATAACATTAAGATGCCATTAAACATAAATTGATTATGACATTAATAATAATAGAGAAGGAAAATATAATAAATTAAATAAGCATTTTATTATAGAAATAAAGTCATTAAAAATTGATTATGACATGATGCACTAGATCCATATAAGAATTTCTCACTGTTTTGTGGATCATTTGATTATTTATTCATGCAATGCCCCCTATCACAATCCAATGAACATTTAATGATTTAAATGGGTGTTTTGTTGGGATGATATTAGAAAATAAATCAATTTTAATATAATATTATTGTCATAACTTGATTTGAATGAGTTAAAAGTGACTTAGACATGAAATCATAGAATTGTGGGTTATATAATAATGGGCAAGCAAGGACGGATGGATGTCTGCATGCGTAGGATTCGGATATGTATGTATTCTATTCCTAAATTTCAGGACAATTCATTTACAGCCATGGGATCTATCCCTCAATTATTCTCTTATATTGATCGATCGTTGTGTTTTATGCTAATTAAAGCTCTAAAAACATGAGAAGGAGAGAGAAATGAGACTTGGCCAGATTAATAACTCAGTCATGTGTGTGTGTGTGTGTGTGAACATCTTGTTCCATGGCACATGACAAGAGAATGACACCAAATCTCACAGAGAGAATGCTAAGAATTGGGAAAACAATTTTATGGCGTACTTTTTTCTACCAAAGGCTATAACACGTATGAGCACATCTACATACTAGAGGACGACCCAAAGGCCCCATCTGGTACGAGGGGTTGAAGGAATGTGACAGGCTAGTATCACTTTTTCATGTTTGGTAAGAAGGAATGAAAAAAATAATGCCAATCACAATCCCAATCCCATATAGATGGGATTATTTAGTATCTCCACCTCCCTATGGTATTGGAAGATCAATTCTAAATTTAAAATTTTAAAGACTAAATTACCTATGCATTGCCCTCATCATCTCTTCCTGTGCCAGTGTTGAGCCATCGACCCCTCTCCTCCCCCTCGACCTTGCTTACGTTCTAGCTTACCAGTGCCATGTGAGTTTCCCTTCTCTCATCCGGTGTCATCCTTGCTTTCCTCAAGGATGTATGCCATAAAAGACCCATGACGATTCAGCTTGGATTTGAGAAGAGCCATTGCAACAGGAGTGAGAGACTAGAGAAACTGAGATTGAAGCAGAAAGAAGATAATTTCTCAGTGAAGTGTAAAGGCGCATGTCTAGATCTAGTGAGTGGAAAGAGAAAAGTTGTGAGGTAGAGAAAGAAGGAGGCAAGCTGTGAGTACCACAAGAACGAATCTAGTAATTGAAGGGCTTGAATGGGTGAATTTTTGAGAGGTGTGTGCGCTGTGAGGTATGCAGCACAAGACCAGATCTGGCAAGCTTGCAACTGGTTGAAGGAAGAAGATGAGTTTTTTGTGTCCTTTTGGTTAATTTTTTTATTAATTATAGAGGGCATTATAGTATTTTCATAATTTATCTTTAATTACAAAATAAAATGAAGGAAAGTATTTCCTCTCATTATTACTTCATATCAAAACATAATTTTAAAACTTTAATTCCACTTTCAATCTCAATCTCAATTCCATTTCTTTCAAATTCAAATTTACATTATCAAACAAGGCCATAAGATACATATAAAATAACCTAGATTCACGTGTCCGTACAAGCAGCGCTTAATTTTCAATTCGAATATTATATCCTATGTAGTAGTCACTAGTGATCAAAATGTGCTGACAGAAATGGGCATAATGAATGAATTAATTATACTATGGAGGGATAATAAAACAAAAAACAAAAATCATAGGATCCTATATAGATATGGTTTAATCAATAATAAATTGTACGAATGGGATTGAAAAACTCTACACATGACATTTAATAGAGACGGTAGAGAAGGGGTGGTGGTGGTAGGACCAGAGAAGTAAATGGAAATGTTAAAAATGGCAATGGCACCTTAAAAGAAGACCCAGGTACAAGTGCGTCCACCATCCCATATGAGTGAAGAAAACGAAAACCAAATCAAACTTCAACTAATATACTTGGTGTCATTAATGAGAGAGGCTCACTTTGATTTTGCGGGAAAAGAATATTCCTTTCTAATTTGTATCACATCTTTCGAATGTCATACTCCCTCTCCTCCTATACATATTTTAAAAGTTATTTTTGATTCAAAATGTAAGATATTTTATAATAATTAAACTATTTTTTCAAGTTTACCATTTCTTAATTAGTGTAAAAGTATTTAATGTAATTGTATCATTATATAAAATAGGTAAAAAATGAAAGTATATCTTACTTTTTATAATATCTAAAAAAGTTAATTTTTTTTTAAAATGTGTGAAATAACTAAAAATGTTATACGATAAGGATGGAAGGAAGTATTAAACAACCATCTCTGCACTTGGTAGTTACTACCTCCTTCTAACCAATATGCCATTAATTAAATGTGGGCCAAATTATTTTTTTTTTTAGAGAATAATAGTGAGGTCTCAAAAAATTGAATTAATAATAGTTAGGTCTCCAATAAAATTTTTTTAAAAATGAATTGTAAATATCAATTTAAATAGCTATAAGTAGAAATTCGTATTATAATTTAATAATTACATTGGATACTTAAATACTTATTTTCAATCAAAACTGTTAAATTTGTAATTATCTAGATCAATATTTTTAACTTATTTTTTTAAAAACTTAACTATCATTAATTCAATATTTTGAGACTTAAACTGTCATTCTTCCTTCTTCTTTCTTTATTTTAAAAGGTTAATTTCAGCCCATATTTTAAAACTTGCAGTTTAGGAATAAAATACAGATATGATGTTCTTTGATAAATTCAGAATGGTTAGTCTTAGCGATTTCTTGGATGACTTTGATTTTTTAAATATTGATAATGATAATATTTTAAAAAAATTATATAGGACTAGCTAGCATGAAATTTACAGATAAAAATGATGATATATTCTTCTTCTTTGAATCATGTGGCCAATTTTTGAACTTCCACTTTTCACCCATTCGTTGTATTTCAAGTAATTAACATGAAGCTTAAACAATTACTTCTGCTAATTGATGAATCAATTTTTGACTTGGAATTTTTTAA